CTAGCTCATTCCCAACAATACACAAGGTACGTATTTTGGGTTATCACTTTTTTTTTTTTTCCCAGTGAAAGAGTTTTCACTTTCTTTATACTCGATCCATAGGTACAGTAGCTGTAGATGATGACTTACAGAATATATTTTTCTGAAAAAGAATGACTTGTCTAAGTGTCCTCTCTCAAACACTGCCATTTTCAGAGAAGCCCACGAATTTACTCACGGCTGTGTCACAGAGCTCTATGAAAACAGACCCAGATTAAATCAAGAACTCAAGAATCCTGTAGAGCAGAGCATAAAGTACATTTATGATTTTCTCCCTCACCAGCCACTGTGATCTCTCTTTACAGAACTCCAGTACTGGGAATCGCACATTTCAGAAACAATCCCATCAGCTTGAGAAAGCATCTGAGAAGCAATAGCTCTACTCACACAGCCTTGTATTTTAATAGCATGTTGGTCCATTCTGCACTCTTAGAATAATGCTATCCAATATATATGCATTTGTGGTATTCAAAATATATAATGCAGTCAAGTTCCTGTTACAGTGTATTAATATCTAAAATAAATATATTAATGAAAAGAAAGATGATACAAGGAAGAGGCATCTCTTTGAAATATTTTAAAACCTCACTGGAAAAAAAGATAACTCTATAACTAAGGAGTTGAATATATTGGCACACTACTGAGAAGATGAAAAATTATATATAAACTGAATATAATTAACCTGGGTCTGAAACAGAGATGCCAAAATACACAGAGGCAAAGATAGTGCCTGATGTGTGAGGATGAGCAAAATATGAATGTATCATAATTGAACCTATTTAGAAAAATCCACAGATCACTTCAGGTTATTACACTAATTATTGGTTCGTACAAGGAAACAATGAGATTTTATTTATTTTGGTGAATATCACACAATATAGCATTCAGTTTAATCAGAAAAATAGCAGCAGAAATCATTCTGTGAACAGATTCACAGCTAAGTACTTGGACAACTGTATGAAATGCAGTGACTAAATGATTTCCTAAGCCTCTTCTGTCCTCATAACATTAGAAAATTAGCCTGGATTGAAACATTAACCTAAATTTATGATTTTCTGAAACCTCAAAGATGATATATAGATGTAGAAAGAACAATCTGACAGAGTGAAGAAAAGAAATGAAATCTTTCATCTTTTAGTGTCATTTTCATCTGTAGTTTTACTTGCAGATATAAAATGTGCATAACATACATACATTTGTCTCCAGGAAGTATGAATACCTAACAAATAAGTTCACAAAAGTCATGCACATATATTACCCTCATTTAAGAATGACACACGTTACAAAGTAATAATGACTACATGTTGTGTGTGCTTTTAGACTAGTTTTAACTGAAATTTCTGTAGAAAACAATTTGATAATGATAATACTGGTTATTTTTTAAAAGTATCTTTAGACAAAAAATATATTAGACTTCCAAAGCTGGAACAAATTTAACAACTGAGATCACTCTTTTATCCTTGTTTTAACAGGAAAAGTTATCAGCAACCATCTCAAATCCAGAGACTTCTGTTTTCTCTGGAATCAGTACTGTGACTTAAAGAACATATTAATCAACCATTTCTTTAAACAGAGAGAGAAATGTTCCAACAGTGCAGCAGACTAAGGGTTTTTGTTTTGTTTTTAAAGGCAAGTGAAGACAAGCACCTGAAAAATAGTAACTTGATTTGAAATAGGTAGATTTCAAAGCAATTCAGAAGAAATATTAAATGTTACACAACTTCTTTGCATAAGCTTTATGAAAGAGAGGAGAGCTGTTCTCTGGAAAGGCAACTGCTCAGATGGTGAAAAAACTGACCATGAGTCACAAAATCTAACAGAAATGTATGATACTATTTCTGCATTAAACAAAATCGTCAGTGCCTCAAGAGCTCTCTCGCTCTTAGGAAATGATTTTATCTCATGTTCTCCAAGCATTTTCACTAAAAAAACAACCCTGCCAAAACAGCCTTTACTAGATCACTGTCACTACATCCATCCTCAGCTTCCAGGAGAGCTGTTTCTGCATGCCAAGAACTGAACTACTGTGAACCACGTATTTGAATTCCCAGTAAAAGCATCAGCTTTACTATGTATTTACTCAAAAGGCTCTCCAGCAGCTATTTCTACCTTCAAAAAAACAGCATTATGAACGGCTCTCTTCCCAAGAACCTTTTAACACTGAATAGGATCAAAAGTGTCTTGCACAGATGCGAATTCTTAATCAAAAACATACAGCATTTTTTGCAGTAGAAACATTATGGATGCAATAGGAGAAATCTGTGTCCTCAGAAATCATGATTTCTGTTTGTTGAAGAATTTTTCCAATATTTACAAAAGTAGATGACAATCAATGAAACAAAAAGCAGCTTTCACTTTAGAGAAGTTGACAACTCCTCCTCCTGATGAGGACAGCTTGAAAATATCAAAGGTAAAGTTCACTGTCTGGCATCCCTAGATTTCTTAAAAATATGGTGTGTGATTCTGACGTCACCTCCAGCAGTGCCTATGACCTGGAAGAAGCTTGAAACAAGAAAAAAACCTGGGTTTACACCCCTTATCCTTTACTTCTTCTCAATTTCACCTCAAAGGTCTGAAACATGAGATTATTCAGTATGCCTCAGAAGGTGTTAAGCAAAAACAAAATGTCTAATATATTAAAGCAAGTAGTTTAGGATTCCTTAAAATAAACATAACTCCTCAGCAACAAAATAGAGGCTTCCACTTCTATTTTGTCACAAATCCCCATCTTGAAAAGCATGTAGCTAAATTCACAACAGTTTGAGTGCCACTTCACGTTAAAGGCAAAATTGTTTTTAGATCCCATAAATCTGTTCCTCAAAGTAAGATACAGCACATAGATCTTCAAATGCAAAGCTTCAGATTTTTCCAATGAATCATTTATGTTTCACATGAAAATTAAAAGAAACAAATGTCACATCTATGACTTCTCTTTGCCTTCTTCCATATATCCTGCCCTCTTCGAAGAAAAAAATGCTCATTACAGTACTCAGTATCATAAATCTCAGTTGACTCTCATGCAGTCACACAACATGCAAACACAGGCAATTCTCAGAACTTCAAGTTTCCTTCTGGGCTACAGTGAATAATAAAGAAAAGACCCATACCAAGTAGTGATACCATTCATTCATTCATCCTTCTAAAAAGCAAGGGCTAGACATCTCAACAGGCAGATAGAAACTTAATCTACTTTCCTAATGCTGAATTGATGTAATACATTTCATCTGCTTTAAGTATGGCAAGAGCAGCCTAGAATTGTTCCAACAAAACTATCTAATAGAAGCCTATCAAAACATACAATATTACGGCGAACAGAAAACAGAAATAGAAAGCCAAATCAATTTGCTATTTCAAACCTTTACTACAAAGTAAATTAAATTACACGGCTTTCCCAGCAGCATGGCTGAACATAAACGTGTGTCATAAACTGACTTTCCTGAAGTCACCATATATTCGGAGGAATGCATTGAGATACTCCCCAAAATTAGTCTAACTTTTAAGCTTAGTACTTTATAAAAGTATCTTAGTACACATATCACCTGTCAAGAAACAAATGCACTGGAGAGAACACCAATGAAGTTTTTGCATTTTTACCCTGTATCACAATGACACAATTGATTATCTTTTTAGACAGCAATAGCATAGGTTAGCTGGTTATTCATAGGAATTTCTCACTACTCAATACAGTGTTTCCAACAGATAAGTACATGCATCTACCAGTTTGATGCCCATGTATATTTTTTCAACATCAGAAAGCCAATAGCTAAGAGAGATACTTTTCACGGTAACAATATAGAAACACGGTCTGAAACACCTGTCTGAATTCAAAACAATGATTCAAGCTCAGTCAACACTACTGTCCTGGAAGAAAAAATGCGAACACTTAATCTGTGGGTAAATCTGATACATCGTGCCATAAATCCTAAAACACAACTCCATTTTACTACCTTTCTTTCCTGCACTCATCTTTACAAAAACTGAAAATATGAATAACCTCTAACACACCCAAAGGAGAGAATTGATACATAGCAAACAAAACAATAAGCACAAGATCACTTGTTGCTTTTCTTTTTTTAAATGCCCAACGATGCAACAGCTATTATTGCAATGGTATTAGACATCATAAACCAAATTCATGTTAATTTCACTAACGAAGCAGTGAACATCTTATGCTGCTAAGATCACTACTTTATAATGGGAGGAACAACCAAGATGCTTACAGGAAGAAGAAATCTGACCAAAAACAACCATTTATGTCTCTTTCCAGGATACCTGCTGCTACAGCTGAAGCGAATGAAGCAGCAGTGGAGACTAGGTGTTTTACAAAGCAAATACAAACCATCTCTTGAGGAATAAAGCAAAATCTAAGACAATCAACCCACCAAAATTAACATAAAAACATCCCAAACTGTCTTTTTAGAATCATGCAGAGTGTCACTCAAAAGGTCTTTTTCCTTCTAATATTACTAATGCTTCTGATGTTAACTCCAAGGCCAAAAGCTTCTATCTCTGCCCAATTTTGCTCTACAATAATCTCATTCCACACTGTGCATACAATAAGAATAAAAACAAGCATATGATGAACTTTAAAATCTTGCTATACTTTAAATCTTTTAACTAAAATGACTGGAATAACTAACTTTTCTCAAAGCTATTATTTGTCAGTAGTTCTTAAACAGCACGATAGAACTCCACACATAAGCTACCAACAAGAAAATGAGACATCTTTCAAAACTAATGTCCACAATAAAGACTAAATATGAAGGAGGAAATCAACACTTTAATTACATTGAAGCTATTCCTAGGACAGTACATGGAAGCATACTGACACAGATAAATATTTTGTGCTCTTTACAACTTGCATCTGCTAATGAAATTATTCGTGTACTGCCTACTAAACCTTGGTAAAACCACCAAATCATAATATTCTCTTCTAACACGCAAACATAGTTCTGGCATACCTGTTCTTTAACTGATGCTAGAATGGCAGACGTTGTCTCAGTTTCAGAGCCATCACCGTTGGATGTGTTCAGCACAGGACTGAGGGAGCTTGTCTTATCAGAAGACGAGGGCTGGTCTGGAACAGGCATAGCTTCTGCAGTTTATGGAGAAACAACAAAAAAAGATTTATTTCAGACTATGAGTAATTTTTAAAATTCATTTCAAAGCAAAATATATCTCCCAGTCTTACTCTAAAATATGCACCACAGTACATTTGGAGAGGATTCAAATCATTTACAGCTGTGATTTTCATAAAGTATTCCAGTGGTAGCATCCAACACTAAATTACAGTACCATGAAAATAATGAATCATGAAGTGCTTTGCAAACAGTAAACCAACTGATAATACAAGAGAAATAGAACAATTCCAGTGCTGGCTTCCTAATTCAATTGACTATTTAGTATCTATTGCATTTTAAGCTTGGTGACTATGCTTTTATTCCAGTCTACAGGGTGATTTTGAAAATATTTTATCAGAGTATTCTTGAAAAAAAACAAAAAAAAACTCAGCACACCAGTTGTTAAGACATTTTTGAGATCTGTTACAAAACAAGACTTGTACTACTTGCAGGAATTACTAGTTTTCCTTCTTTGAAAAGGACAATGCATTTTTTTTCTGGAGGCTAAGCTATATTGTAATACCTCCACTTAAACACCACAGCAATCACCATTCACATCAATGGCAAAACCTTATGCCTTGGCTCTGTCCCACTTTACTTAACGCAGGTTTTTATGAAGACAGATATTACTTATTTATTTATTTTAATGGAAAGAAATGCGAAGTTTGAAGAGAAGTTAAGGGGACTTGGCTAACAGCAACATACAAAATTCAGGTCACAGAGTAAAAATCAGCACATCGCCCTGACAGGGAAAGCAGGGCTCTAAAAGAAGGGAGATTACATTCTATAGAAATTTGGATCTAAGTTTCAGTACTGCCCAGGAACACTCATTCAGTCTAGATGGGAAGTCTTTTTCAAAAGCTTCCTGAAGCTCAGAAGATTAGCTTTCTTACATACAGTAAAAACATAAAAAAGCAGATTATTCATAAAAAAAGGTTATTCTCCAAAGTGAAATTTCCATATATTTCAGGCTAGATTAGTTGACATGTTGAAGCACAAGATTACTATCATAAAATATTACTTTTAATTAAAGCAGCTACATATTTTCATATGACTCCCTTTTTGTAAGCAAATAAACAGAAGTGATAAAACTTCAACTTAGCTCTGGTAACGTTCCAGAGATACACTTGTTCTGTACTGCAGCAATCCATGCTGGCCAATACTTAACTGGCAGAGTTTTTTGTGGGGAGGAAAGGAAAACCTGGTAACCTGCGTGGGAAGAGCTCACCCATCACCTCACCAAAGGGAAAGAGTATAACATGGAAGAAGAATCATAGAATTTTTCAGGTTGGAAAAGGCCTTAAAGATCGTCAAGTCCAACCACAACCTAACCATACCTCCCTAACTCTAACAACCCCCCACTAAATCCTGAGCACCACATCCAAATGTTTTTAAACACATCCAGGGATGGTGACTCAACCACCTCCCTGGGGAGCCTATTCCAGTGCTTAACAGCCCTTTCTGTAAAGAAGATTTTCCCGATATCCAATCTAAACTTACCCTGGCACAACTTGAGGCCATTTCCCTTTGTTCTGTCACCTGTCACCAGTGAGAAGAGACCAACCCTGCTCTTGCTGCAATCACTTTTCAGGTATTTGAGGAGAGCAATAGGATCTCCCCTCAGCCTCCTTTTCCCCAAACAGCCCAGTTCCTTCAGTCTCTCCTCATAGGGCATATTCTCTATGTCTTTCACAAGCCTCGTTGCCTTTCTTTGGACCTGCTCCAGCACCTCAATGGCCCTTCTGTACTGAGGTGCCCAAAACTGAACACAGTACTCGAGGTGAAGCCTCACCAATGCCGAGTACAGGGGCAGGATTACTTTCCTAGTCCTGTTCACCACACCATTCCTGATAGAAGTGAGGATGCCAGTGGCCTTCTTGGCCACCTGGGTACACTGCTGGCTCATATTCAGCCAACTGTCATCAGGATGGGCAGACATGCCTTGTGTTCATTCATTTGGATGGGGGGAGATAAGTCTTTTCCTTGTGTTCATTTAATTGCTTGTTTTCTTAGTTTCTCATTACTAGAATCAATAATTTTAGGTTTACGTTAATTGGAAATATATCTAATTAATCATAATTCCTGAACTCAAGGCTGTTTTTTGTCCGTGAGACTCTCTGAGAGCAAATCCAAATGAGGCCCACTGAGGTACGGTTGTTTCCTATTGCTGTTAGGTTCTCTATGCTCATAATGAGTAATATCAGTATGACATACTGCCTCTTGCTATCCCAAACTTGTTTTGGAACTGCATTAAACTTATTACATTTTAATTTTCAGATGCTTTTTGTAAACACTTTTTTTCAAAAAAAAGGCATGGTATATTGCTACAGCACTATTTGAAATTCTGCAAAAATCAATTTAAATAGAAAACAAATCTGATAACGCAACCAACTTTATTTGCTTCAATAAAATAGGCTCAATATCTGGACTGAGCAATGCTAATATTCTACAGTCAACTCATGCATCCCATGATTTTTGGCTTTTTCTTGTTGTTTGTCTTTTGTCCTTTAATATATAGCTTAAAATGATGAGTAAAAAAAAAGGCATTCTGCCTAAAATATTTCTTCTGGACAAAATACAATTTCTATCTCATTAGTTCAGTTTATTATTACAATTATTTGAGGGTGCAAGATTGTAACAAATTGCATTTAATAACATGACACTGAATCTCAGCGTGACTTTAGCCAGCTGAGCCTTTAATGTAATGTGCATCAATGTTTTTGCATTATGCAAATTCATGAGAAAAATCATATACAAAGAAAACAGAGAATTGAGTTTGCAATATGACAGAGAAGTTACTGTACCAAAGGCAGTTATGTTCAAAAAGAATCATACATGAATCAGGAATAGTATTACTCAACACTAATGGAGCAGCCAGCATTTGAATTGAACTAGTCCATTTGATCAGATTAGGTATACATTTTAATTCAGTCTGGTCTTCAGTATAAGAAGTCAGGTACTCTCAAGTCTTAACAGGGCTTAAAACTGCTGGTACTTAAGAATTACAGAAGATGGGGCTGCAAGTTCCCCATCTCACTATAAAACTTCCCAATGACGCGGATTCTTTTTTTTTTTTTTTTCCTAAGTCACTTGGAGCATCTGAAGCTTCCCATGGCCTCCTCTGTCTGTTCTGGGATTCTACCCACCTTACTTGCAGGAAGCTTGCTTTACTAGTTAACATGCTTTTCCCAGTACAACCTCAGCATGTCCTGTACCATCCGAAACACACACAGAAATCAAATTACTTCATCACTAGCACACATGATCACAACATTCCTCTACTCTGGGCTCTCTTTTCTAGAAAAAGCTACTCCAATTATTTTCATCTTTCCTCACAAATTACACTTGATGATGTTAAGCTTTTAATTCAAGGGAGCTTAGCCCTAAATTCAAATGGAAAACTATAGCAAATAGAAGAAAAATAAAAATTAAGAAACATAACAGAGTACACTGTGGCTGCGTATATAACACAATCTGTTGTATTTGATTCCCACAGTTTCCTGCTATTTCATACGTGCGTCAGAAAAAAACAAATGAGATTCTGTAAGTCAGAGCATATACATGCTCCTGAGAGAACCAAATTTAAATCTTAGATGATCATTCATAGATGAACAGGTAAAATACTACCAACCTGCTGGGAACATATCGAAAGTTGGACATAAATAATTCATGTATTCCCATACTTAATAACACTGGCAAAATTCTATGTGGAGTTTGATTTTTTTTTTTTTCTTCCCAGTTGTCTTTCTAAGAGAATCTGAAAAATGTGCCTCATTTTGGGGAAAAAGAAGAAATAAGGTTGTAGATACAAAATAAAATGTCCTCTCCCCTATGCATGTGAGGTGAAGCCAGGGCAGCCTTGTGCCAGACACAGCCAGCTCCAAGGGCCCCACCACAAGGCACCATTGGGCGGCACAGGGAGACCTTGGGAAGGGCTAGCATTTTATACTACATATCAATCCTTAGGTAAAACGAAGAAGTATATACGCTATTTATCCTCACATATGGAAACAGCAATGTCACATGCTGTAGTTTCACTTGAAAATTTAATTTTGGAAGTGCAGTTTTACATGGACTTCAATCATACTGGACATGGACCTACAAGGGTGTAGCCATGAAGACATTACTGGCAAAGGTATTCTGGTGGCAGAATTCACTGGTGACGTTCTCACTCTTTGTCAGTTGCCGTGGCTGCATCACCTTTCAATGAACTTATTCTCCTCCACAACAGAAATGCCATGCCTCATTCAGCACATTTAGACCGAAAAGGCCCTAGAACTGAAAAAGCTCCATGCTCTTCTGTAAACCAAGCAATTAATTCCTTTTCCAACTTTAACTGCATTGTTTTAACAGGTTCTGGTTCTTTTTAATGTATGTTTAGATAAGAAAAAATCCGGTTTAAAGAGGTAGATTTTTTTAAAATATTAGCTTGACATTCCTTTAAAGGTCACTTCGTTAATGTTGCTTGCATAGTCTACTGTTGCATTATTCCTTTCTGAGTAGAATATACAGATATGTTAAAATAGCTCCAGAAAGTCTGAAAGCCTACGGAGAAAGAAGAACTACCAATTATGCTGGCAGTTGCATTTTATCAGTGGAATCAGAAAAACCAAATAAGTTTCTTTAATTAAAAGGTATTACGGTAAAGAATATGTACTCCCCAGTGGGTTTTCCCCATACAATGAATCATTAATGAGAACATTCATCATAAAAGTGTAGGTCACGCGGTCTTACTGCACAGAAATCAAATTTGGCTCAAAGATCTAATCTGGAGAACCATAAAACGACATGGAAGTAGCCTTGGATAAGAACCAATCAATTAAAAACAATTCAATATGCAATTGTGCATCTAGAAATAATTTTTGCTTCCTATAACAACAATATCCTGTTACAGACTGCAGCATGACTACCATTTAATAACATGCATTTCAAATATTCCTGTTAGAGTGCATATAAAAAATAGCCAAAAT